CTCCTCCTCCTCCTCCTCCTCCTCCCCCCTCCCCTCCCCCTTCCTCCTCCTCCTCCTTCCTCCTCCCCTCATCCCTCCTCCTGCCTCCTCCTCTCCTCCTCCCCTCCCCCTCTCCTCCTCCTCACTCCCTCTCTTCCTACTCCTACTCCTCCCCTCCTCCTCCTCCTCCTCCTCCTCCTCCTCCTCCTCCTCCTCCTCCTCCTCCTCCCTCCAATTTCATGCTCGTGTCGCTGTTTCTTCTCCTGCGAGCTCCTGGTCCAGGACCTCCGGCTCCAGGAGGCAGCTGGCCAACCCCACCTGGCAGCCCAGATGCCCCCCGGCGAGTTCGCGGCTCCCCGGGGGCGGAGGCGACCTCGAGGCTCCCGGGGGGGGGGGCAGGCGCGGCAGGTGGGCATGCGACATGGGCGGCACGAGCGACATCCAGCGAAGACGAAGGGCACGACGACGCCGACTCCGACCTCGCTTCCTCCCCCGCCCGCGGCGGATCCAACCCTCTGCCACTCTCCCCCGCCTGATCGAGTCCATCTCTGGCCCAGGTGGAGCATCACCCGAACTCCTGTGGGGCTGAGGTGGCAGCTGCGGCTGGTGGCTTCTTTGGTGGCGCGACCAATCCCTGCATCTTGATGCACGCCTCTGTTCCGATGCCCGCCTTCTGCTCCGGGGTGAGCTGGGCGAGGAGAAGCGTGAGAATATGTTTCATCTCCGAGGGCTTCTCCTAGTCCTTTTGACTGCCGCCGCCGTTGTTGCCCGCGCTGCTGCTGCCGCCCTGCCCCTGCTTGTTGGGCAGGTCGAAAGGCTGCTCGCACAGGCAGAAGACCTTCTTGCGTGCCTTGCTCAAGTACTGTCGCTCTCCACAATGTGAATAGACGCAATATGCGCGGTGCCTCTGCTGTTATTGCCGCTGGTACTGCTGCTGGTAGGCCCACCAGGAGTTGCCCCCCATGACTGCTGGATCAGTCGGGGTCTGGAAACGACTGATCGCGACCCCGGAAACCGGAGGTCGGAGAAGGACTTCCCCTTGAAGCTGGAAGGGTCTGGAGCCAAAGTGGCTTGAGCCAAGATGGATTGAGCCAAAATCGCTTGAGCCAAATGGCTTGAGCCAAAACGGCTACGGAGCCGCCTCCTCCTCCTCCTCCTCCTCCTCCTTCTCCTCCTCCTCCTCCATTCCTTCTCCTTATAGATAGGTTCTCCCTGTCGCACGCCGATGCCAGTTTTTAGGTCGGGCCGGGCGTTTCGCCTGAGGCTACCCGGTTATGTGTGACCCTGGAGATTAAAAAGTTACAACAGCTTCACAGATGGAGGGCGGGTGGTTTTCAAAATGTGGCCCTCGCCTCAGCGCCGCGCACATTTGTTTTAAAAAATTACAAGAGGTTCACGGATTCAGGGCGGGTCGTTTTTCAACATGTGGCTCTCGCCCCAGCGCCGCGCGCATTCGTTAAACAAAAACTGCAAGATCTTTACGATTCTTCACGGATTGAGGGCGGGTGGTTTTGAAAATGTGGCTCTAGCGTTAGCGCCGCGCACAGTCGTTTTAAAAAGTGTGCGAGAGTTTCACAGATTCAGGGCGGGTAGTTTTCAAAAAGGTTTTAGAAAATTGCATGAGCTTCACGGATTGAGGGCGGGTCGTTTTCAAAATGTGGTTCTCGCCTTATCGCCGCGCACATTCGTTTAAAACATAGCAGGAATTTCACAAGATGAGTGCATATTCTTTTCAACATGTGGCTCTCGTTTGTAGCGCCGCGCACATTCGTTTTTCAAATATGAAAGATTTTTACGGATTCCCATGATCATCGTACTCACCAGACATGGTGTTTTTGGAAGGGCTCAGGATTATGCGGGCGCAACAGTTATGTTGATCCGCTGTGTTGAAATCCCAAAAATGGTGTTTTGTCACGATTCTGGATCGTCAAGACGCAGCAGTCAGGTTGATACGTGGCGTTGCAATCCCGAGAACAATGTTTTGGCACGCTCCAGGATCTTCACAACTGTTGTCTTCCAACGAGGCAGTTCCCTCAATGGAAATGAACCGTTGTATGGGGCCTATGAAGAGGGAACTTGGAGGGAGGCTTAATTCCAACATCGTTGATGACTCTTGGGTTTCCACTGGTCCTCCTCCTCCTCCTCCTCCTCCTCCTCCTCCTCCTCCCCCGAGTGCGATCTGGGAACCTTGGGGGGGGGAGGGAGGGAGGGGGCCAGCCAAGTGTCTCACGCGCCCTCTCACCGCACCGGGCAGGCGGGGGATCGGCGGACTGAGCAGGGCGGATCGTCGCAGGGTTCGGCCAGGCACCGCACGTCGCCGCCTCGTAGGCGCCTCGTGCGCTGGCCGAGTGCTCCTGGCTTGCGGCCAGTCTCCGCCCGTGGCCGCTGCGTGCACCAGCAGGCGCTTGCGCCCCACAGCCTGCACCGCACACGTGGCACCCCGCAGATTGCGCCACCTCGATCGCTTCATGTCCGTTGCATGACGTCGGTTCTCTCTCTCTCTCTCTCTCTCTCTCTCTCTCTCTCTCTCTCTCTCCTACAGCAGAGTAGGCTCTGCCCCGTGTCGCGGCTGGACTTATCCGTAAACCACTCCGCGAATTGCGCTTCGATGGAAGTGAACACGATCGTTCGCCATAGCACGCCAGTACCCCAGCCAGGCTGGTATCGATTCCCCCGCACCCGTGTCAAATAATGTCATGCGACACACACACACACATACACACACACACACACTCGTTGATCTGACAAGCGCGCTTCGTGCGAATCTCTATCAGACAGTATCGCGCGGGCCAAACGCTTGAGCCTCCCGCGCGCGCATGCCGAAATCATTGCTCAGGAGGGAGGACCCGTCCGTGCGCCGTCCGTCGTCCGCCGTCGTTGGGGGAGCCGTAACCTGCATGTGTTTTCGCGTCGTGCCGGCAATGGAAATCGACATTGATATTCATATGACGATGAGGGAGAGGAGGTGAAGGTGAGCGGGGGGGGTGGCGAACAAGGGGTATGATTAACGCGAAGATGGTGATGATGGTGGTGATGATGTTCGTGGTGATGATGATGACGATGATACTGATGATGACGACGATGATGATGATCATCATCATCATCATCAGTATCGTCCAGGTGATGGTGGTGATGATGGTGGTGATGGTGATGCTGGTGATGAGGATGGTGATGATGATGATGATGATGATGATGATGATGTCATGGACAATTCCGCAGATTTCACGTTCAACCATGGGGGGAGGCAAGGCGGAGCCGATACACCGCTTTGCTCCAACGCCATAATTGATATTATGTTATCTGCTCTGGTGGGGGAGTGGCAGAGGATTGGTTTGGGATGAAGCATTGGAGATTTGCTCATCAGTAATTTCCGGGCTGACAGTATTGATATGTTTGCACAGGTGTGGACCAGGCCGTGGAGATGATTTCGCAACTTGCCCATCGGCTTGCAGCGTCTGGTATGAAGTTGAAGCTTAAGGAGAGCAAAATGATGCCAGGCATGGGATTGGGGCCATCGCCGTCCTATGTTCTCTGCCGGCCACGCGGGCAGGAAGCGATGGGAATTCTTTTGGTGACCGAGACGGGTCTCTTGGGAACACGCTTCGATGGAGCAGCTTGCAGCGGTTTTGCAGCGCGGTTCTTCAAAATTGGCCAAGGTGGGTTTGCGCTGAGCTGGGCCTGTTGCGCGCCAGTCACCGACGATCCGACGGCGCAGTTTCTGGCGGCTGGTCATCGGGCGCCTCGGCATCCCTAGAGGCGGCCGGGTCCTGGAGGATGGTCGAGGGTCGCGTCGAAGAGGCAGTCGCTAAACTAAAAGCGAGCAGGAGTGCATAAGAAGGACTGAAAGAAGGAGGGGCATGGGAACCTGGCCACTGAGTTGTTGGTTCAAGCTTCCGCAGTTGGTTGCAACTTGGAAGTCGCTGGCGACCCCGCCCTCTGCAAGCATCGAGATGGGTTGCTGCATGGCGTCCTACCGGTCGCAGGCTGAGGCATTGCCAGCTCGCCGGGGGGAGGAGGGAGGAGGGGGGGGGAGGAGGAAAGGAGTAGGAGGAGCAGGAACAGGAGGATGAGGAGGAGGAGGAGGAGTAGGAGGAGGAGGAAGAGGAGGAAAAGGAGAAGGAGGAGGGGAGGCGAGAACGAGAAAAAGAGGGGGTGGGGGACGGGAAGGTTGGACGATGAGGGGCAATTAGTCGGAAGAGAGACGCGAAGGAGGAGGAAGGAGGAAAGAGGAGGAAGGAGAAAAGAGGAGGATGAGGAGGACGAGGAGGAAGGAGGGGTGAGAAGGAGGGAGGAGAAGGGATTGGAGCCAACCTCCAGTTGACATCCCGCCCCCTGCCCCGTCCCCGCCTCCCGCCCCGCCCCCCCTCCTTGACCCTGACCCCCACGACAATTTCACAATATGAATACTACTCTCCTGTCTCCCCTGATGACGTCCGGAAGATATTCGCCCACCCCTCTGCGTATTGTTTTCTACACAGAATTCCCGGGAGTTGGGTTTTCGCTGGGGCTTTGGTTTCAAAATGTTGTTCCCGCTGAAGCGTTGGCCTCATTTTTGGGCTTCCGCTCGTTCCGAATCACGCTCCCGCTGCAGCGGTGGCCTCATTTTCCGCGTTTCCGCTCGTTCCGATGCGTGCTCCCGCTGCAGATTTAGCCTCATTTCCGCGCTTCCGCTCGTTCCGAGTCGTGTTCCCGCTGCAGCGCTGGCGACATTGTTTCCAGTGCCATGCCACGGGATGCAACGCAATGCTAAGCGGCGTTCCTGCACGATGCCACGCCTTCAGTTGCCATGCTAGGATATGCAGTGCTTGACTACGCAATGTCACGCCATGCTATGCCATGCTACGGTTTGATCTTCAACGCCATGCTATGGCATGTTCTCTTCTGTGCCGCTTTGGCTCAAGCCGTCTGGCTCAAGCCAGGAGCGGCCCAAGCCCCCCGCCCGCCTGCCGGCAGGGGCCCGGCGGCCGCCCCCCCGAGAGAAGCTGGAGAGGCGTGCTCCGCCTCGGCCACGCCCAGCGCGCGGGTCGCGGCCGGGCGAGCCATGCCTCCGAAGGGGGTGAAGCAGCACATCAAGAAGGCCAAGCGCGTCGAGAGTGGCGACGGGGGCGCTGGGCTGCGCCGCTCCAAGACCGTGGAGCAGATCTACCAGAAGAAGACTCCCGTGGAACACATCCTCCTACGCCCGGACACCTACGTGGGCTCCGTGGAAAAGCAGGACGACAGCCTGTGGATCTGGGACAGCAAGAAGGGGGAGATGGACTTCCGCAACGTCACCTACGTGCCGGCCCTCTACAAAATTTTCGACGAGATATTGGCGAATTCTGAGGACAACCTGCAGCGCGACAAGACCATGAACTACATCAAGGTTGAGATCGATACGAAGCAGACGCGCATCAAGGTCACCAACAATGGCAAGGGGCTGCCCATAGCGATTCACAAGAAGCACAATGTGTACGTGCCTGAGCTTGTCTTCGGGCACCTGCACACTTGCGACAACTACGACGGCTACAGGACTGGGACAAGGGCTGGGACAAGGGGATACGGCAACAAGACCTGTCAACTTCCCAAGGGGAGCTCGGGACAAACGACCTGGGGTGCCGGGGGATCGATGGGGGGCTACCGTGCTCCATGGACCCCCCCCCGCCGGAACCCCGGGGTCCCTCGCCCGCTTCTGGTCCGGTCCATTGTACCTCACCGCCCCGCCCTTTCTTGCGCCTCCCAGTCAGTGATCCTGCAGGACTGTCGGATGATTCGTTGGAAATGGCGACTTCAGAGGTGCTGGAGGCGGGCTCTGGGTACATGGTCGACAACACCGACACAGGCACCGACGCCAGCCCAGACACCAACATCATCGACGCCAGTATCGCCGACGCCGGCAACGACGCCAGCATCACCAACGCAGGAATGCCGCCCTTCGTGAAGACGCTGAAGGGGAACACCCAGCTGGAGGAGGACCAGGACTGGTCGCTGATAGCGGTCCACGAGGCGTTTGCGGCGGACTCCGCGCAACGGCCGGGGGACTCCTCCATATTTGAAGCGGGTTCCGGAGCGGTGAAGGGGTGCAACCACCAGCCCACCGAGACCTGGAAGGGCGCCCCGCAGGACTACCAACACATCAGCATCGACACCAGCATCGCAGGCGACAACGGCCGCATCAACGCTAAAACTAGCACCATCGCAGGCACTCGCGCCAGCACTGACGCCAGCGTCCATGGCAGCTCCGACGCCAGCACCCACAGCAACAGTCAAGGCTACCACGACAAACGCAACGCCCAGAAAAACCACGACGCCCACGACCACGGCAACCACGGCACCTTCGACAACCTCGACAGCCCGGACGCTCACGACGAGCAAGACGACCACGACCACGACAACGATGACAAGGACATCCACGACGACCACAACCCACAAAGTCCACACCAACAGCATGTCGAGGAGCAGCACGGCGAGGATCAGCAGCCGAGGATGGGCTGGCATCCCCCAGAGCGGCAGCGACAGCAGCCGCCTCCGGCGCGAGCCGCCAGCACCCACGGCTGCATTGACGACGGTTCCACCGCCATGCGACTGCATCGACACCTGCACGTGGCACCAACGCCAGCACCCGTCAACGAGCGCAACGGCGACGCCACCCTTCACGACGGCACCCCTCAGACCAACGCCGCCGTCCTGCCCCACGACGCTCTCCACGCCGCTGCTGTTGCCGACATTGGGCTCGACTTACTGTGCTGTGTTGCTTGGACTGGGGGCCCCATCGAAAACCGCAACACGGTCCAAGAGAACGTCCAGGACATCCCCCACGACACCCATGACGACCAAGAAGACGCGGACGACAACATCGACGTCCACCACGACTCCCACGAGGACCTGGACATCCACCACAGCATGCACCACGACATCCACGTCGACCAGGAGGATACAAGCGACCACAACATCCACCACAACATCCACGATGACCAGGGGCAGGCCTGTGGAAACCAGCAGCAGCAGCACCTCAAGCCGCACGACGGCGAGCAACAGCTCGAGGAACAGCACGGCGACAGCCGGCAGCAGCAGGGCCCTCAATTGCACGATTGCGACCCCTTCTACTAGCCCTTCTACCGTGGCTACGGATACGTTTCTGGCGCCCGCGGTGCCGCCCCAGGCGCTGCCCAGGCGCGCCGAGCTGCTCCGCATCCACTCCAACACGGACGCTCCCACCTCCGACTTCTGCCAGCGGCAATTGCCTGGGCCGAGCCCGGGACTATTGCCGAGAACTTCGGCCACAACCCACAGCCGCGGAAGCGCTCAGCTCTTCGTGAAGACGCTCACGGGGAAGACGATCACAATCGACGTGGTGACCGCTGATACGATCCGCAGAGTGAAGGAGACGGTCCAGGACAAGGAAGACACCCCTCCGGCTCAGCAGCGCCTGATCTTTGCGGGAAAACAATTGGACGACAGCCGAGCGCTCTCGGACTACAACATCCAGACCCCGTCGGGTAGGCGGGCTGCCATAAGCGTCGTGGGAGCACCTGTCTACAAATACCTCCTGGCCGTAGCTCGCTTGCCTCGCTTCACTTTGTGCCCTGGCGCAACGAGCATTCGGCGTTCCACGGCAGCTGCCGTTCGGGCTAACCATCCGGACTGTCAGCCTAATTAGTTGCATCTGGGCCCAGGTCGACCCCCCGATATTTCAGGGCCAAAGTGTCGATCAGCACCTGCCCCCTGTTGTTCAGGGCCACAGTCAGGCTGCGGTGGGCCCCGGTGCTTGCATGCGGTTCGCAGTCGCTGCCCATAAGAGGCAGCCGCCGACGCTCGGTAACGGGCTTTCAAGGCAGCGTATACAACATCCAGACCGTGCGGGGCGCGGGGTCCCACAATAGCTGGGACCGGGTATTAACCTGTTTTTGCAAATGCGTCCCGGCCGCGGGGTTTTCTGCTGTGCTCTACCATGGTCCCTAGATCATCGAGCTTTGCGGGTCCCTCGGTGACACTCCTTCGTGAGCCAGTCCCTTGTGTTGGAGTTGCATTGGCGGGTGGTTGCGATGCCAGGCGCGGGAGCTTGCAGGTGCGGAGACTTATAAAGCCAGCTTATGCCATTGTCTCCCCTCGACCCCTGGCTAGGGGTCTTTGATTCCTTGCGTTCCACCAGCGGGCCGCCCTCTTGATGGCGCCGGATAGGCGGATTGAATGGCGGGGTGCTGGTCGTGAGAGGGCTGCCGTGAGACGGCGGGCTGGCCTACGGATACCCCACTGCCGCAGGTGACTACCGATGGCTGTGTTCATCCACTCGCAAGAATTCGTTTGAATTCGTTCGACTCGCAGTCGTACTTTTTGTGCAGCCGATGCTCGGTCACGGGCTTTCAAGGCAGCGCATGCAACATCCAGAAGCACACCACCTTGCACTTGGTACTGCACCTGATGGGGGGAGGCCCGGCCAGCTTACTTACGGCGCTGCACTCCTGCCAGCGCAGCGCGTGCCCGCTCTTCGGCGCCGCGGCTCCAGGAGGGGGCAGATGCCCATCCTGTAACATGGACCGACAACTGCAGACTCCAGTGACGCCACCACCTGGACATGGTGCAGGCGCTAGGCCACCACGAGACGCCGCAGCGTCTGCTCCACCTGCAACCCCCCCTGGACTACCCGGCCCTCCCCCACGGCGCCCGCCGGTCCACCGACCCACTGACGCCACCAATACGCAACAAGAAACCTCGACCAGGGATGGGGTGATGGACGAAGTACTCGCCGAGCTGATCGATCAAGAGATCTTGGCCCGCGAGGACTATATCAACGCTGTCACAAACACACGCGAGCACCCCGACAACCGCCCTCCGATCACAATGGGCGCCCTCCGCACATGGCCATCTTCGACCCCCGTTCTTCACTCCCTCGCTTGCGACCCCGCTGCAACAGACCCATGGGCGCTGGTTGGCATTCCGAAATACGAAGGCCCACCCCCCACTACAGAAATGATCTTACGACGAGTGAGCCTCGCCCATACCCTCACATCGGTTTGCCAGCATCCCGGGCGCCGCCTCCAGGAATCGACAGAGGCCAAACTTTTCTTGGAACGACTGGACGCCGCAGGAAAGCAATGTGTTGCCGATCTTCCCCGCATACTCCGGGAGAAACGTAAATGGACGACCGCCCAGAGCCCGCGCTGGCTCGAAGTCGGCACCCCTCTACTCCAATACCTACGCGACCGGGCGACCGCTGCGGCACGTTCCACCACCCTCTTCCTTCGCATGTCCAACCTTCAAGGTACAGACTTTACACTTTCCCCCTTGGCGCCCCCACCCATCGCTGGTCGACAACGGCGCGACGCGCTGACAAAAAGCGATGCGACCATTCGCACCACATTGCAGCAGATATGTGGCGAGGAGCTCTATATGTGGGCTCCGCTGGACGCCGCTGCCATGACACGACTCGCACGCGGCTTCAAGGCCTTTGCAACTGCGGCGACCTCCACGACAACCTTGCACCTACTCGTACCGCACGACGTCTACCCAGGATGCACTTCTCCAGCAGAGGTCCTGGACATTTGGGGCCACGAGCTCATGGAGGACCAATGGGAACTCATATTGTCACGGATTGAGTTTCTCCGCCAGCCTGTCAGATGCGCATTCCCTGGCCAATTTGGCCCACTCCACCATATCAAGTCCATCGCGATGTTCACTCTTTCGACATGCAGCACCACCTCACCACCAGCTACGATCAATTGGCGACCCTCACTGCTGGAGGAACGCTCCGGCCCGGCAATCATCGTGGACTTCTACGGTACAGAGGAGTTGAGCGTCCATGGCATGCTCAGGAATCTGGCGCTCCCTGGCTCGATTCGTTGGGATGGCCCGCGGCGCAGTCTTGGCAGCAAGGGCCCGGTACAGCGACTCTACTTCGCTGGGTTCTTTGACGAGCGCTACGTCACGGACCTGGACATACGACTATATGTGGACCACTTGAGGAACCAGGACCCATTAAGCAAGGCACTCATCGGGCGACGTGCGCTGTACACAGACCGCACGGCCGTGGTGGTCGACATGGGGTCGCCGACGTCACTTGTGGCCATGAGCGACTGGGTGGACGAGGTGGTGCTCGTCTCGGCACGTCGGGCATTGCTCGCGACAGCGTGGTCGGCGGAACACTGGGCCCAGGAGCTCAGCGACCAGAACACGGTCACCCCGCAGGATGCTATCACGAGGGTGCGGCACCGCCCATCGATTTTGGGCGGCCGAACGTGGGCGAAACCGCATGCCCTGCCATCCACACGCGCCGCATCTCTTTATCCACTGCAATCATCGTATCGGATGCCTCCTCGGGTCACCCGGACTCCCTCCTCGACCGCCTCACGGTGCAGATCTCGGCGCTCACCGGCACACCCTGGCAGATGCAGCAAGAGGGAGGGCCTTTTCGACCTCGCCGTTGGCGCAGCGAGAACACACGCCTCATTACGGTCCAGTGCGGCACGATTGACGACCTGAATCAGCTTTACAATTTCGTGCACAATACCAGCATGGAGATCGACGGCATGCCGTGCTTGGTCGAAGTCGAGAATCTGCATCACGACGCCCCTCCAGCACCCCCCAACCCAACCTACACTGCCGCTCCATCCCCGGAGCCCCCCCTCGAGGTGGCCATGGACGGCGCACTCGGGACCTGACGCGGCTGCCGCTGTGCATCCGAATTCGTGCGTTTCTCCCGCCGCGCTTGCATGGCCGCTCCCGCCGCACTCACCACACCTCTGCTATCCCACGTCCTCCCACCTACGCCCCTCCGGCCCCGCCAGCAGAGCCCCCACCCCCCCTGAACCTCCTGGTGGAAACCATGCTCGAATCAACGCGACCTCAAGCGACAACAGATCCCACAGTCCGGTCACTCCATCAAGGACCACTTGCCCAGCCCCCCCCAGCCGCCAATACAGGACGACCCAGCGGCGACCCTACAGTACCATGCCGGACCAGACGATATCCCAACGATCTGCGAAACGACCTCGTCTCCAATGCGCCCCACGCGACCCCCGACCCGACGCCCCCCAACCGATCGACCCGACTTCCGAGGACCCGACACAGCGCGCAACGATCACTGACCAACAGACCGACCGCTCCAGCACTGACCCAGAATGCCACAGGGCCCCGGCGCGCCCCGCCACTTTCCCAACCCCCCCCAACGCGCCCACCATCTTGCCGCCGCCAACGCTGGGCCGAGGACTCCAACGAGCCCCGCCGCCTCCCCAACCCTCCCCAACCCGCGCCCCGCCACTGCTTCGACCCCTACGCACTCAACGCAGACCAACTCTACGAAAAGACCGAGAGTCCACAACGCCCCCCCCGATCTCCCTCCTACGCCTCCCCCTCCGACACTTCCACCAGCCGACTTCCCATGCGCAGGAGGCTACCGAGGCGCTTATTGGAACTCCCAGGCCCACTTCGCAACCGACCCAACGCTCAGCAGGACAAGCAGCGACATGCATGGAACCTGTTACAAAAACACGTCTTCATTGGATTGGGTGAAACTCACAGCGCACTGGGCCATGTGACGGCAGCCGCGCTACCACCACATACTCGTGCCTTCTGGTCGCACCATCACACTCGACGGACTGCGGGTATTGGCCTCTTCCTGACGGACTACTTCCTCCGCTCGTTCAACCCGGTACGGCACGAGGACTGGGCTGAAATTTCTCGAGGCCGCCTGGCGACCTTATCGTTGCGGGGACCCAACGGTGCGCTGGACATCGTCGTGGCGTACTTCCCCGCCGGTCACGACGAAGCAGAGGCTCGACGACAGCGCATCCAGGACCTCGCGAACCAGATCGCCGACGCGGACTCGACGCTCACACTCCTCATGGGAGATTGGAACTTCGTGACGGAGGCGGAGGACCGCTGGCGCAAGCAATCGGGGCAATGGACTGGCGCCGCTGACCACAGAGTGGCGGGAGATTGGGATAGCCACCTGGCATGCCGGCACGGCTTCCACGAGTTGCGCCAACCACTTCTTACATGCGAGTCCGGACGTGCCCTTTCACGCATCGACCGCGTCTACTCCAACCACCATTGTTCCGACCAGCTGGACCGACATTACTCCGCAACCGCTCTCCCGCACGCGCCCCTCTCGCAACATAGACCCGCATCATTTCCCGTCTGGTCAAGCAGCAAGCCCACGGAACAGTAGGCCACTTCCCCACTGGGCCCTTCCGCCATCCCGATTGGCGCCGCCGCCTGGCCCTTGCATACACGGAGACACTGCGGGATGACCGCGACCGACAGAACCCCCTCCGCAGGCTTAGGATATTGAAGCAGTGCATGACACGAGTAGCTACGAAGATGCACCAAGAAGGACTCGACGCCCCCTCCGACGACCCGCACGATCACCTAGGCTGGACAATGGCATACATACGAGCAGCGGAACGTATAGCCGTACCAGCGATGCAGCGGTGCTTGAATGCTTACCCCCACCTCGTTACGATATCCCCTGGCGCCGACCCGAATGCTCGTCTCTCGCCGCGGCTACAAGCAGTCCGACAGCATGCGATGGACCTTGCCCACAACGCCGTCACGACAGACCTTCTAGCCTTACAACGACAGGAGGCCGATATCAACTCCGGGGATTACCAGCAGCAGAAATCCCACATCCTCACGAAGCTCCGCCGCCTGCAGCCAGGATGCAACACCGCCATCGGCGCAATCCAAACCCCAGACGGCAATCTAGCACACACGCCCCACGACATCGCGCAGGAGCTTGGGAAACATTGGAGCCGAATCTTCACGCGACAACCGGTCAACCCTGACATTTGAGAGCGCTGGATTGCGCCCCCCCCAGCCTTCCTGTCGACCCCTGCCCCAGCACCGACGGGAGCCGACGCCCAGACCCGGTCTGCCACTGCAAACCTGCAACCCACCGACCCACGATCACGACCACGCCCCGGCCGCCCACGTCGCCACCACGCTCGCCCACCCCTTGACATATCTCCAGACAAGTGGGCATTAAGAGGGGAAGACGTGGGGCCCGCGATACAACACTCGGGCAACAGCATGCCAGGCCCCGACGGGATCCCGTGCGTCGCTTGGCGGCGAAGCGGCCAGCTCGCCATCGGAGCCCTTTGGGAAGCCGCCGACGCTCTCCAGAGCACCTCGGGGGAGACATGCCTCCGCGAGCTGAGCGATGACGACCCCGCTGGCCATGATTTCAATTTGGGAACCCTCGTCTGTTTGGGGAAGAAGAAGCTGATGTGTGACACAACCCACGGTGACGTTTGCACGGCTGACAGCACGCGCCCGTTATCCATCGCGAATACAGACAATAGGATCATCTCGAACGCTGCACGGAGGCGCTGGGAATTTATTATCAATGCATGGGTCGGCCCTTCGCAACAAGGCTTCTTACGGCACCGATCTCTATTGAAGAACGTTCTCGACGTCGATTTTGCCAGCATGGCCACCGCGCTCCAAAGAGAGTCTGGCGCCATCATCCTCTTCGACTTTGCGTCCGCGTTCCCGTCGCCCTCGCAGGAATACCTGCACGACATGCTGCGTCATC